ATCACTTGCCTACCTCTCCATCCCTGCACTATAGGGGCTCACCATCATCTGCCTACCTCTCCATCCCTGCACTATAGGGGCTCACCATCACCTGCCTACCATCTCTCCATCCCTGGGCCAAGAAGTGAAAGCCATCATGACCAGATTTTACATGGGTTCTGGGGATCAGACTCAGGCCCTCAGACTGGCAAAGTGAGTGCTCTATGAACTGAGCCATCTCTCAGCCATTGACCATGAGTCTAAGATGAAGATGACACAGTGAGCTTATCACCTGAAAAGCAAAGCTATGAAGCCCTCTTGTAGCTTATCTCTACGGTGGGAGGAAACATCTCCACCTCACAGGTTTGCACTGCGGACTAAAGGGCTAAACGGATTCTTCTGAGAGAAGGTTCCCTAGAATTTGGATATGACTTTCAAACCAAAGGAAAGCTTAATGTTTACACACACACACACACACACACACACACACACTCACTCACTCACACACTGCACAGTTGTACACCCTCCATGTAATTTTTAACATTATTTTTATGGAGAATGCAAAGGAGAACGAAGATGATACATTTATTAGGTAAGGCTCATGACGGTTCTAGAGGTAATGATGGCAGACTACGGAGAAACACCTGGGAAAGCACAAAGGCCTGAGTTTGGATTCCCCAGCACCTACATGAAGACCAGGGATAGCAGCACACATCTGTAACCCCAGCACTGCGGATCCCACACCAGCAGGTCCCCGGAAGCTCATTGGACAGTTCGTCAAAATGATGAGACTCAGATTCAGCCAGGAATGCCGGCCTCACCAAACAAGGTAGGAAGTGACTGAGCAGATGTCTTCAACCCGTGTCTCACAAACCCTTTGGGGTTCACATATCAGATAGCCTGCATACCAGATATTTACATATGAAAATTACAGTTATGGAGTGGTGATAAAATACTTTCATGGTTGGCATAAATGAATGCCTAGATGAAGAACTGTATTAAAGGGTCATAGCATTAGGAAGGTTGAGAATCACTGTCGTAGAGAAAGATAGTTGATGTTGGTTCACGGCCTTCACACAAGCATCCTTATACAAATATACCAGCATACACATATTACACACACACACACACACACAGAGAGAGAGAGAGAGAGAGAGAGAGAGAGAGAGAGAGAGAGAGAAAGTGGTGACAAGCCCTAAAAACATAACATATCTGCACCCATCCTTTCACAGAACGATGAAACTACTTTAGGTAGAAATCTATGTTACTCAGCCAATAGTCAAATAAACCTTCAAGCCCTGAGCATGATTCGGATAATTCAGTAAAAGCTAAAATAAGATAAAAATTTCCCGTGGGCTAAAGCAATGGATAGTCTCAGTCTTGGATTTTTAACTCACAAATCATTGAAAATGTTCATTTATCCCTCTATCTGTATAATTGGTTATAAGCTAAGAAAACTAGGTCATGCATTCAACAGGATGGGGAATCTGTGAAGCGAGCCGAGGGTGAAGCAGTTTTAGGCCAGTTCGGGTGGGTGGCCTCCACGCCTAAGTGACAAACACACCACCGAGAGCACAATGGATAGAAACACCAACTCCGAAGGGTCGCAAACAGGAAGTGTCCATTTCAAAGATGAGCAGAAGCTAGGGAGGCAGTGAGACTGAGACCACAGAACCCAAAATGTGCCCTGCCAGAGAGGCATGGCTACAGGCGTAGCTGCAAGCCATGGGGCCCGAGATAGTTATCTGCTCAGAGTGTGGCCAGCGGTCACCACAGCAAACCCACGGCCAGCTGCATACCACAGCAGCAGCGCCTCTCAGCCACCTCTGTGTGGCCCTTCCTGCAAGACCGAGCCTTGTCTGCCAGACTTGTGAACCTGGTAGTTCATCCTGCAAG